GAAGAAGCACTTCGAAAACTTGAAAGCTTAGCTGCATTTTCTGAAAGGTGATTAACAAGAAGATGAATAGTTTGCTTTATCTTTCATGATGAATATTTGTTCTTTCTACATAGACTTTATCATGCTTGTGATACAACATTTATCTATTGGGAACAAAATTCATTTGGATTATATTTACAAGATTTATTCTTAACTGTTCGTGATCCACATCGATTGCATGTAAGATCTTATTTTGCTAATGAATAAATAATTGTTTTGTTTTTTTTTTAGTATATATTTGCAGCTCTTCGTGATTGTATCTCATCATTACGAGCTATTCGTCATGATAAACCAGAAAAATTAATTAAAACATATAAAAATGAAATAATGAAAATGTTTGATCAGGTTTTTGAAATATAAAAATTATATTTAATCTATCTAAAAAAAAAATTAATTATTTAGTTTTTTCTTCAAGAATTATTTAAAACAATTGAAGATGATCTTCGATGTTTATGTCATGCACATCTTGAAGTTGGTGATCGTAGTGTATTTAGATCAAATTTTAAAGATGTTACACCATTTCTTGATGTTAAACCAATACGATGTTTTGATGAATTTGTTAGTATTAAAGGTTAGAATAATTTCTTTCTTCTTGTTTTTTTACTTTTTATAATGAAATAAATTTTATCATAGGAGCTGTTGAAAGTTATTTGGATAAAATTTTTTATGATTACACAACAGCTTCATCAACAGATTGGAATACTTATTCAGAAATGCGTAATTTAGCATCACAAAAATATGGTTTAGATTTACATGAACCACATTTACCAAGTAAAACTCTCGAACAGGTAATTAAATAAATTTTCAGAGGAAAAAAAAATTATTAAATCAGCTGAACACCTATGGAATGTATAATCTAATGAGAAAATATCACCAAATGAATAATTGCTTTTGAAATGCGTTTTACTTTATTAGATAGATCTTATGAAAAACAGAAAAAAACTTACAAATATGTCTGTTCATGATCTTTTCTTCTTGAGTTATATTGATGGTGTAGTGAGTTTTTCAACAAAATACCGTGACCTTTTTTGAGATCACTCGTTTGAATATGATTTGGCAAGGGAAAGTTCCTAACTGTCAAATCCTTTTTTTCTCGCCAAATCTAATGAATTGACTGTGAATGTACGAGGATCATCCAAACATACACATTCACACGGCGGGCGTCATCAAAAACTAGGTTTGGTTGAAATGGGCGAGATTTGGAGCATTTTCTAGAAACATTTATTGCAAGATCCAATCAGAGATGCTCATCGCGGTAGCTTATTGTTGGGAGACACTAAAAAACTGCATGAAATTTCAGTGTCTGCATAGATAGCACTCTGAGACTCGATAGATTCCATGGATTAGTAACAACAGTTTTAGTCCCATACATTTACAGTAGTTGAATTTGAATCGTGGTACAAGCTTTCTTTTTTATTGTCGTGACTTGGCAGCAGCATATTTCCAATCGTGATGGATATCTTCGAGTTCCATCAATGGTTTCAATTGTTTGAGCTCATATTTCGTCCACAAAAAGAATACCATCAAAGTAATACAATCTCTACAGAATTTTTCATTTTATCAAAATTCAACATTTGATATGAGTGTTCCAAAAGAGAAGTTTTCACATTTTTACAGTTTTATGAAAATACTATGTTTTGAGGTATTCATATCCTAGCAAAATCCCCATCAAAATAACAGCCAGTTTAAATACCTTCTATTTAGGGTGTGGGTGTGAATGAAAGGGAGATGAACACGCACACCCGTGCCTACACCCACACCCCAACCTACAATTAGGGTGTGAATGTGTCGTTTCTTCAATCACACTCTCTACACTCAGAGAGAAAACAAACCTTTTTTTTTTCAGAAAAGCAGTTGGATACTCGATGATTTATACTCATAATCTGATTTATCAAAATGAAGCATTTTCAAATAAATATATCTATTTAATTTCTATGTAGGGCTGTGATGTTCTTGATATTCTTCGTAATTTAAATGCATTTGTTTCTCAACATTATTATAATATAAATACTCAAATGTTCATTGAACGATCAAGTAATAATAAATTTTTACGTACAACAAATATTCGACATGTAGCTAATTCAATTCGTACACATGGTATTGGTATAATGAATACAGCAGTAAGATATAAACTTATTTAGATCCTTTCTTTTTCGTTTTGTGTTTTAATTATTAATATTTGTTTTTTCTTTTGTATTGAAAGGTTAATTTTACATATCAATATCTTCGACAAAAATTTTATATGTTTTCACAATTTTTATTTGATGAACATATAAAAAGTCGTTTAATGAAAGATATTAAATATTTTAAAGAAAATAAAGATCGACTAAATCAACGAGTAAATTCTAATAAATGAGTTTAAATTTAAATTCGATCGTTCTTTTTTTTTTAGTATCCATTCGAACGAGCAAAAAAATTTTTTATTAGTATTCGAAAATTAGGCGTTACAACTGATACAAATGAAACTTATCTTGATCAATTTCGACAGTTAATTGGTCAAATTGGTAAAAATAGAGAAAAAATATATATGAAAATTATTTTGTATTTTTTTGTTTGCATCAAAGGTAATGCAATGGGTTATGTTCGTATGATTCGTTCAGGTGGTCTTAATACATGTTCGAGTTCTATACGTTTTGTACCTGATTTTGAAAATATAATTTCATTTGAAGAATATACGCGAAAAGCTAATTTACCTGCTGAAACAATAAGTGCTTCAAGGTAAATTAATATTTTGTTTTTTGTCTTTTTAACAAATAATTATATTAATAATTTGATTCAGACATTTAGATGATGTTATATCAAATTTAGTCAAAAATTTTACTGAAGGTACTGAATATTTTAAAATTTTGGTTGATGTTTTTTCAAATGAATTTCGTGGAAAGAAAAATTTACATTTAAAAAATTTTTATGTTATTGTACCACCATTGGTATGTAAAATGACATTGTTTTAAAATTACGAATTCTATATATATATATATTCAATTATTTATAGACTTTAAGTTTTGTTGAACATATTAAAGTATTAAAAGATAATTTAACGAAAAAATCAAAAGTTAATGCATCATTTACTGATGATGGATTTGTAATGGGTAAGAAATGATTTTTCTTTCTGTTTAGAAGTTGTTGGCACATTCCGTAGAGCGTTAAAATGTGAAACACAATGTAGCTGCTACTGCTAATCACAGAAAGATTGTTTTATTTTATCTATTTTGGAACACTTTTCTTCATCATCCTTTTACTTATGAGTATCCCCGGGCTTTTTTGATCGTTTCTGATATTCGAAGATGGTACAGGTAATCAAATTGAAAGATTGATTTACCATAGATAGCACACCAAAAATTAGAAGAAACATGTTTGGGTAAAAAAAAAATTGAAGTGAGTTTTAACTGGGAAATCCTGGTTTTTCATAGAGCTGCAATCGGAGACATTATCACTCTCATCCGATTGAGTTAAAACTTTTTATTGGAAGTACGTAAGACTATATCTCAAAAGTAATTTTAAGCTTTTCCAAAAATCTTATAAGAAAAATACGTAAAGATTCGGAACCACAATCAAGATCTTGTTCTTTAAATCCGAATAGGAAAGTCAAAAACCAAAACGGTCGATTTTATCTCTGAAGAATACTTCTAAGTGTCAGCTCAACTGAACAAAGTTAAATGACAGCCGTAATGCATCAGAATGCGACCCTGTGTAAAATCCGAGTTTCCTAGCGAAAATCCACTTTGAAATGGTTTTCCTTGAACACGATTCTTTTTAATTTCGATGCTCTATCGTTTATAAAAATTTCAGTTTCATCGCTTATACCATCTTCAAAAATCAGAACCGGTCAAAACAAAAACGAAGCCATCCTTATTCGTTGATTAGAACGAGACGTTATTGCTATACGATCCATGATCGTATATCAACAACGTTTGCGAGAGGGTTCAAATTGTTATCCTTCTGTTTCGATTGTGTTTCTCACAGGATCATAAACGAATTTATTTAGGTGTTGCTTATATATTAAAATTACTTGATCAATATCGTGATTTTGATTCTTTACATTGGTTTGATGCTGTTAGAGAATCATTTAATACAGAAAAAGTAAGATATATTTTTTTGTGAAAATGTCCTATCAAATTTTATTTTTCAAGACTGATGTGATTAATAAATCAAGAAATAGTAATGAAGAAAATGTTAAAAAAGCGCTCAATGCTTCAATGAAACGAATTGAAAATGATCAATTGGTTAGTAGAAAAAAATTAGAAAAAAAAAACATGTTTTTACACTTAGATTTCTTGTGTTTAGGAATTTGATTTACTTAATTATAGTTTACGTTCAGCTAGAATATTTTTTCGTGCTGATAAAACAGCTGAAGAAGATAAACGTATGTTATTAACACAAAAGCAATAGCTCTTCTTTCGTTGCTCATGCTATTTGTTGCTATCCATAATCTCTTATTTCTATCTATTTTTTATGTAAATTAGGTAAGAAATGATTTGTAAAGAATTTGTTTTTCGTTTTGGTTCTCTATTGTTTAAAATTAATGTTTATATTTAATTTTTAGAATCATCGTTGGCTGAAACAGAAACACGAACACAAACAGAAACAGTACCAACTACAATTGATGTACCTTCGATTACCGGAAATGCACCGCCACCACCACCACCACCACCGCCTCCACCACCAATGGCTGATGGCATTCCTCCACCGCCACCACCACCACCACCACCTCCTCCTCCATTTTTTGCTCCTAATTGAGACCTCTTCATTTAGGACATTGACACTCTTTTCTTTTTCTATTGATAAAACATAATTAACCGGTGATTGATACTACGGAACTTATATGCCTATTGATGATTTATCTCTATGTAATTCTTATTGTAAAATTTGTTACATGCATTTTTAATTTATATGATCATTTTTTTCCAATATATTGAATTTCACTCTTTTATTTCTAGAAGAATCTCACTTTATATACAAATATGAAATTTTTTGTCAATATTATTATCATAGTGAGTTTTTTCTTTAACTTAATTTCATATTTATTGATTTCGTTTCTAGATTAGTCTACTTTTTGCATCAATTATATGTGCAGATGTTTGCATTAATGAACAATGTACATGTTCAAAAGATCACACCGAAGTACATTGTGATTCAAAACATTGGACAAATTTAAATGCTGTTGAATTTCCTTCACATGTTCGTGTATTAACACTTGTTGATAATAAGTTAACATTCGAGACAAGTAAATTTTCAAAAATAATCAATTGTTAACTAAAAAATATTTCTCTCGAATTATAGCGGATGATATTTCAAAAATTGAAAATTTAACACGTTTAATAGAATTAAATCTTAATCAAAATCCATTGGCAACAATACCACCATTTAATGATTCAAAAATTCGATCACTTTCATTACAAGATACATCCTTACGATCAGCTGAATTTCCTTCATCTTATTTGAATTCATTTTTAGAAACTTTATCACTTAGTAGTAATGAAATTCATTCAATCAATGAAAATGATTTTGTTAATTTAAAAAATTCTAAAATAAAAAGATTACATATGGATCGTGCAAGTCTTTCAGTAATTCATCAAAATGCATTTATTCCATTAATTCACCTTCAATCATTATCATTAAAGTATAATCAATTAAAATCATGTGAATTTTTATCAACATTTCGTTTACTATCATCTATTAAACTTGATGGAAATCAATTTACTTCACTTCCACAAGAATTATCAATACCAAAAAATATTAAAAATTTCTTTTTTACACAAAATTTAATATCAGTTATTGATGAATCATCACCATTGCGTACATGGCTTGAAATGAAATATGCAAATATTAAAATTTATTTAGCGAATAATTCATTTGATTGTTGTCAATCATTATGGTTTATTCGTTTTTTAAATACGTCTTCTCATTTTGTTGGTGATGCTTCATTATTAACGTGTGCAACACCATTAATTTATGCAGGAATACAATTGATTAAACTTAATCCTGATGAAATGAATTGTAGTGGAGTTTTACCAGATGGAACATGGTGGACAACTGGTCGAATTATTGCTGTGATCATTGGAGGATCAGTTAGTATTTTAGCTTTGATTATCATTATTATTATTATAATTATTACAACTCGTCGTCGACGATTACGTTCAGGTTATACAGAAATCGGTGGAATAAATGATGCATTACCGAATGCTCCATTATTATCTTCTAATGAACTTCCATTTCCACCACATGGTGAAGATGACGATTCTGTTTCAACATATTCTACTGCTCCTACAAGACATACAGTTGGAACAAATATAACATCAGTTGCTACGGCTGGTGGAATTACAGCAACTGATGAAATTTAAAATTGAAAACTTTTCTTCTAAATTCTTGTTTTTGATCTGACTAACCGGTGTTTTTTTTCCTCCTTTACTAATTTCTCATTATTTAATCTGGAAAAAATCTTTTTTTTTTCTTTGTGATGCGTGTAAAATTGTACTAGATTGTTAAACAAGCTATTTGTAATTAATTTCTTAGTCATAATAAAATTTAACATAAAAGCAATATTAAGATTTTCATTGTTCTAATGAATTTAATTTTAATAATCATATTTTTACTTGTAATTCAAAAGATAATAATACTTGAGATCATTTAAGTATTGAAATACTTACATTTTTTTAAAATAATTCTTTTCATGTTTAAGTTTTTTTTAATCAATATCTTTATGGCAGAAATAACAGTGTCTAAGTTTTATAAAATACGAGAGTTATTCAAAAAGGTAAATAACTGATTTTATTTAAAAACAACAAGAAGTATTACTGCATTCGTATTGTTGTCTGTGTATGGTTCACACAGTTTTTGATCTACAGACATCATGAGTCCTGATCGAGTAAGCATTTATGCCTCAATATAGCAATATATTTTAGATCAATGCATACACATTGATAGAATACCAAAAACTTGAGCAAAATTTTTCGTTTCGGTTTTTGAACGAATTCGTCGTTTTAAAAATGGATAAGTTAGTATTGATATATGAAAGATGTATAGTTTTGTCAGGTGCTATTGAATGTAACATTGGTCTTGAACAGGCTTTAGTCATATATAATTGATCATGTACAATGGCTAAGTATCTGCTATTTGCTCAATTACAAGTTGAAGCTTTTCGATGGCTAAACGTCTAACTTGTTTTACTATTTATCTCATCTACATGAAGGATCATCATCAATATTTAATTGATCATCTTCAAAAGTCCAATGTCATTCAGAAATTGTATTGTATGATAGAATGTTGGTCACCATAAACGGCCATCATACGTTTTTCAATATTAGATAAGAATTGATCTTTCAGGACTAGAAACCTTATTGCTGAAGGATGCTCGAATTTTAAAATTTTCTAACAGTACATAGAGAGTAATCTAAAAATCAGACAGACAACGATACTCATGCAGCAGTACTCCTTATTGTTGATTAATAATTCAGTCTCAGAGCTTTTTGAATGATCCTCGTAGACCTCCATGTTTATGTTTATGTTATTATTAACTCGAAAGAGTGCGAGTGAAAATGAAGATAAAACTTACAAGCAAACAAAGGAATTACAACAACTGATTGATTGCTTTCGAGTAAAGATCATGAGCACCATGTAGATTCCAATAAGCAATGAATACTTGTAAACGTGCTCGAGTATGTAGCTTATTGCTAGGAAGATGAACTAAGAAGGGATTGTAGTACTAATAGAATTAGTATTGGGTTGTTTTCGAAAAAAGCTTTCATACTCCATTTTAATAATATTAAAATACCTTCTATGAAAAAGACATTCTACGCACGAAATATACCCTAAATTTCAGAGAAGGCGAAGATTTCTCTTTCATCTTTACATCTACATCATCTCAGAAAGGTAAGCTAACGACATCATTTTATACTTCAAAAAAGTTAATACCATTACTTTTTTTTTTGATTATTACTTTTTGTTTTTTATTTGGATATGATTAGCATTCAATTCATTCACCTTCTGGTTCAGATACTGCATTTTTATGGAATTTTTTAATCAAATGTCGTAACCATTCCCAAGAACACTAAAAAACTGAATTTAGAATTTCGACTTGAAATTTTTGTTGTTCGATCTAAATGAGAACAGTTTAGTGCGAAAGTTTCAGATTTTGTGATTGTTTCAATTCTAAGATATGGCTATAATAAAAGCGAACCTTTTGTGTCGTTCATATACATCATGAAATTCGATTACAAGGTTTCAAATTGATACTTAAAAATCAATTTTTTTCGATTTACTGGGGAATGTCACGGTATTGTGTTAAAAAGTGCTATATAAAGAAGTATGTTCACAGTAATAGGTTATAAGCTCCAACTCTTCTCAGAATATTCATAACTTATTAAGCGAATCTCCATGAGATCATCGAGCATGACCTCAGTATATGAAACACTCGTCAATATTTAAATTTTTGATTTTTTTATGTGCATTCGAAAGGATAATGTTTGAACCGAATAATCCTAAATTTTTAGTTCATTTGGCCTTTTTATAGTAAAGTTAGTCTGGATCGACTTTTAGAATCGTCTACCTAGTATCAAGAATAACAATGATACATCATGTCATTAATGTTTGATAGTATTACACTACTAAGAATAAGAGAATTTTTTCATGTTATATACCAAATGATAGGGTATGGATAGATGAAAAAAATGAGCTATATGGAATATTATATATCATTCCTTTACTGGGCTAACATGAATGAAAAACGGTAACGGATTACCAGCCTATGACGTTAGACTTATGAAGGTATATCTGCTGCCATTTATCGAAAACATCAGACTCCGGACTGAATTTTTGATATGTTGTGTAACTTTTGATTCTCTACCAAATAGTAAAAAAATTAAGAGAAAAAAAGGATAGAATGGATACAAAAAGTGGCATATACTGTCAAAAGCTAGGTAAATAGCATCGAGAAAAACGACCTTGAGAGTTTTTCAAGGACGTTCACTTATGAAACTTTTCATGAAATACGATTCTAACCTTGATCGAATGGCATAGACCATTTGTTTGAAAAAAGAAAACAATTTTCGAC